AGCAGTTGATGCTGTACTCCCCTTATTTATGCTTTCACCTAAGCCTTTTGAATAAACTACACTCTGGCCCTTGCTCCAGGGAGGACCAGTGTCCCCCTGCTACCAGCCAGTGCTGGGCACAGGTGACTGCACCAGAGTGCCCAACTTCCTCAGGGTGTGCAGAGCAGACCCAGCACAGCCTCGGGGTCCCCTGGTCACTAACGCTGTGACTTGGGAGGACATTTCAAAACATTTAAAAATGCTGAGTTAAAAATGCTGTCTATTCAGCAGAATGGACAATTCTTTTCATTATTTTTAAAAAAGCCAAAATGTCACTAAATGCTTGAAGTTCAGTGAACCTGCCAATGTAAGCTGCTTACTAATGCTGAATTTTCACGGAGATACATTTGTCAGATGCCATAAAAAGACCAAGACCTGCAACTCGTGACACCTGCAGAAAACCTCCCGAGGTAACAGCCAGATCTACTTCAGTTACATCTGGGGTCAGGCTGATTTTCCCACATTTCTGTTATTTAAGTGTGAGCCTCATCATGAAGAATCAATCCTTATTTTAAGATCATAGAAGCATTTTCCATTTGCCAAATGTTGCAGGAGCCCTGCTGATCAACTGCAAAAGAACAATCAACTCCTGACATGCCTTTGGCAATAAACTACCATTTTAATGCCTTCTCAAAATCAAAACATAAAATATACACTTCGGGTTCACACCTCTGATGGTTCCTAGAACAAAGCACCACAGAGGTGAGAAGAGATGTTTGCCTTGCCCCAGGCTTCCTCTGTTCCACACTGCTTTGATGTTCAGTTTTCTCCCTTCCCCTCTCTCCCCAGCCAGGGTGTGACTCCACACTGCAGCACTGCCAGGGCAGGGGCAGCACACAGAAGGGAGGACCCAAGGCAATTTGCTTCCTTTATTTTTAAGGAAGCTTTCATTTTCCAGAAGGCAGGTGCTGATTTGTTGGGACCAATGCTTTCCACAGGAGCACACTGGCTCTGACTGAAATTGTTCTGGATGTCGTTTCCCAGGGTCAAGTCATTCAAGTCATAACTTCCAGCCAAAGTCAGAGATGGTTTAGAAGAGCTGAAAGCAGGTTTCCATCTCCCACAAGGGCTCTCTAACCATTAACCAATATCTTTCCACAGTGTGAACAAAAGCAAAACAGCTGCACAAGGAGAGCTCACGAGACACTTGCCCAGGGAGAACCAGCCTTGCAGGGGATGCCACTCCATGAGCAGGAGTCCTGTTTGCTCTTGGTTTGTGCACAGCAGGGAGTCAGACCTCTACTCCTTTAATTTATTTGGGGTTTTGTCTTCTTGAGTAGCCACTTTTAAATTCATTCTACTCCTCACCTAATTCTGAAAGACCTCTGGTAATCTGAAATGCTGGAGGTCTCTTGTCTACAGGGCAGGAAGTTGCAAACTACAAGTTCTTTTGCTTATGACTCCACTTTTCCTATCACCAAAGGCAGTTACAGCCTCAGTACAGAAACAGGAGGCCTCTTAGCACACAATTAGTAATGCAATACCTGAGACAACGCAGTGAACCTCAGCCCAGGGCTCAGTTTCAATCCAAGCTGTCACAGGTTTAAGATGACAGAAGAAAATCAGTATTTGTGCATTAGCCTGGCTGTAGGTCATCACTGCAGGCTGTGACTGGAAACATTCCAAGTAGAAGATTTTATTTAAACTTAATACCAAGTGAAAGGGTCAAGTGGCCAGAACAGTGGTTTGCAGGGATGGTCAGCCTGCACGTTTATCTGGATGACCTTTCTGACCTTCCTCCTGCTTGGGAAAAGTGTTTGCTTCAGAGCACAGGGATCATTACAATTTAAATGTTCACCACACAGATGTTACAGTACATGAATCTTTTATATAAAACAATGACTTGTTGTTATTGCAATATTTACTTTTAATATTAATACCAGCTAAATGCATGTATCTATTGAATACCTAACCTTCTCTAGAAATATTGATTTCTTTCTATGTCAATCATAGTGCTTTGTGCTAGTTAGCTATTTTAATATTTAATAGACTGAAAATGACAGCCCTGCTCAGTAAGACAGTCTGTATTAACAAGAACTGCCAGAAATTCTCTTGATAGTCCTTCTTTTGCACTGGGATCATTTAGTGCAGAAGCTGTACCTATAAAAAGTGTGGATATAATGCAACATCAGAGATGCAATTCCATTCCAGTTTCTTACAGAAGCAATAAACCCATTTGATATAGGTTAATTTTAAAAAATTAACATCATAAAACCAGGCTGTTCTAAACCTGCCACAGCTTCTGAAAAAGTCAGAATAAGAGTCTTAAAAAAAGATATAAAAACGCAACAGCACAAATAGTTTGGCCTATGATCTCCTTTTGATACAACCAAATCTGTGTAACTTACATTTTTAAAAGAGCAAACAGTGCATGCACTCAAGCATTTCACAGAAGTAAAGCATTAGTCTTCCAAATGTATTTTTTTCTATTATTCAGGTGCTTTGTTGACTTATTTAATGATGCTGCACTGCACTGCTTTGTACATAAAAAACCTGAGCAGTATATTTCTGTAGAAGTCTTGAATGTTATTAACATCTACTAAATAATGTTAAGAAAAAGACATGAAATTCTACTGAAGAATTTAATAAAAATCATACCAAGTACCCAATCTCCCAATTCTGCTACATACAAGTACATAAATTGTTAAATTAAATTTATGCCAAAATACTGGCAGGAAATAGAAATAACCCTTAAAACACTTCCACCTCTTTTTCACCAAAAGTAAAGCCTATTTTCTCCCTGTGCTCAGGGCTTCCTGAGATTATCCAACAGAGGGCTCCCCGTAGCTATTAAAAAGCTTAATTGAAAGCCACATATATGACACACACACACAAATCAGCACACTGTGGTTTTAATGCCCTGCTCTGTATGCACACACACACCCATCTACACCCAAATTAAACCTTGTAAAAGAATCCACCCAGGCAGTGCCCTGGCATTATTTGTATGCTGATAGTGCAGCCACCTCCAGATTTTTTTTTTCTTTTCCGAAGCACTATTTTTAACTGCAGAAAATTAGTGTATTTTTAAATTGTCTTTACAGAAATTAAATTACTTTTTCTTATTACTTTTTTATTTTCACTTGAGAAAAACAGCAAGGAAGCTGTGTGGAGCAGAGTGTGACTGTGTATCAGCCAGGGGGGAAGGCAGGGGCAGAGACTGAGGCCTGGGCAGGTGCTCATGCACACAGAGCATCAGTTTGCTAAAACCAATCTACACCTGACAAACTCCATCTCATCAACACCACGGTGCAACTGGACCGTTTAAACAAGAGGTTATTTTAAACTGTATTAAACCTTGTTCTCTTTGTGGAGGTGGTTACAAAGTGGGGTTGCTGCTCAGCAGCCTTGAAATGCTTAAGTGATCAATGCATTTGGTAGATCAGGCTTTCCTGATGTTCAGAGATATGAGGCTAATAAAACCCAAACATATTTCAAAGATTTTGCCAATACTGCAGGAAATAAGAGTTTGTGAAGAGTCTTGGATGTGCTCTCATGGTTTAGGAAGAACTACAGCCACCCACCAAACTGCCCTCAGACTGCAAGTAAAAGGTTCCTACATATATCCTTCACCCTGAGGTCTCCCTCACCATTTAAAGGCCTGAATTTCAAATACAGGATATCATAATGCATCGTGGCCTATCTTCTCTCAATAACATATGCTGATGTTTCCTGTAGGCTACACACCTTATTTTTAAATTTAATTGAATGACACAGCTGATACAGTATCGTGTTGGTGTGTCCTGCCTGATCAAAAAAAACCTCACGGCATATTATCTACTCAAACACAACATAATCATAAATTAAAGCAATAAATTAACAGTAGTATCTGATGGGTTTAGTAAGCTATTAACCACAGATGAAGACAATACATAAACTTTTGTACAAGAAGCCTTTTTAAAAGTTTTTACAGTATTATAAGTAAAGTACCTATCTGTAATTCCACAAGTTCACTCTGCAGCACCTGCAGATGTGCCTGGAACATTACCCAATAAGTCATATTTTTTAACTTCTGAGATTCAATTTGTTTTCCATAATAGGTTTTGAGCTTATCGCTGATAATACTAATTTGCTTTTCTTCACACGTTTACATTCCACTGTGAAAACACACACCTACACCCTTTTTGCACGTGCTACAAAAGTAATCCAATACAAATCCTCCAAAACTAGTTCTGCATTTTTATAGATGTAGGCTTTTTGAACAACATCCTTAGAGGTGAAGTACAAAAGTTACAATCTGATATGTCACACACCACACAAATAGGTGTGTCTTTCAATTTATGGCAATGTATTTGGTGCTTTCCTTCACCCTGCAGTGATACCGTAAAGCAGGTGGGCACGTAATGCAAGTAGAGAAAAACTTCTGGTATTTTCAGCTGTATTATGGCAACAGTAAACCCTAAGCAAAATCTTTACAGAAATTTTTGGCGCAACACAGAACTAGAGGCACCCTGCCCTAACCTGGATTGAGATGAGCTCGATCTCTTCACACATTCCAAAGTCTACTTTCACATCAGGGTGCCTGGGTGCACACAAGCACTTGTAAGGTCTAATCCATCTTGCAATTTGATGCAATTCTCTAAAAGCAGCCAACGCTCTCGTGATCCTCCACCCCACCGTCAGAGCTGAGGTTTGGATCTGAGGTTCAAGAGCAAACTCAGGTGCCAAATTCTGCAACTACCCTTGTACTTATAATACAGCCATTTCTTAAATTAAATTCTAAGTGCCTCTGGCCCAGAAGTGTTTTAAAACAGTATCTCCTTCTCCCTTTCAACTGCAGATGCAGGTACACAGCACTTTTGGAGGAAACCAGACTAATTTGGCACACAGTGTTACATCCTGTTTTAAAGATTTCGACTTTGACCATTATGCAGCCATCATTTTACTAATACATACAATTCCTGTATGGGAACAGCAGTAGTGAAACAAAAATATCAAACAAACTCAAACCCTTCACCTACCACAAGTCTCCATCTTCAATAGTCCTGTCGTTCGGGGCTCCCGCGTGGCCGTAGTGCAAAACAGACGAGTTCTCCCCACTGAGAGGCAGAAAGAAAATGCAGCACAGTTAGTGGGAGAAGAAACATTAACACATGAGAAGGAACACTGTAAACATCAGCATACTCATATAGGAAGCAGCCTGTGAGAGCTCTCCCAAGCCCTGCCCAGCCACCAGTGCAGCAGAGCTGGGGATGGGGAGGAGCAGAAGGAACTTGGCACAGTTCAGCTGAATATTTCCCATCTCCATGACAGTGTAAAGGAAAGAATTATGCACAAGTAATCTTTCAACTTACACCCTTTTGTTACCATCTGGATTTTTTTAACTACTAAGTGATATTTGTCCCTATTTGAGGTTAAGTAGTCTGAGGGGTAAAACTAACTTCTGCTGGAGTAAAATCTGGCATGTTTGAAACGCTCTAGGAATCAGTGGGACTGGAAAAATTGAGTTGTCCAGGGAAACAGCTCCAGTTTCCCTCTGGTGGTCTCTGCTGGAGTGGATACACTGCCTGCTGCTCGGGGAGCTTCCCAGCATACAATGTCAGCAGCAAGTAACAGGTATGAAAACTGTCACTCTTTTCTTACCTCTTATTAAAGAATCACATTACAAAGAAAAGACTTTTATTCCTGGAAATCTTTCAGAGTAAACTGCTATTTCTCAAGAACAAAACAGCTCCAGAGAAGGAAGGACCCTTGTTCTGTCGTTCTGAAGCTCTGTGATCCATTTGGTGACCTACATTTGCCCTGGGCATCCTCTCTTGTCTACTGATACTCCCCCAGGTCTATAAAATGTCAGTTAAAAGGCTGCTAAAGATCTCAGGCTCTACTTATTTTTCTTTTACTGGTCTCCTCAGATTGATGCTCTCACTTTTTCTCTTCAAAGAGCTAGAAGAACTATATCACATCCAAAAATACATGTGTTGGGACAGGGTTACTGCAGGATCTCTCTGACCCCTCCAGCTGACTGGCCAGTTTGTACCTCAGCTTTCATCAAAACCATATTGGTCACCCTGCTCAAATTTGATTCTTTTAAAGTTGTGATGGTAGAACAGCTTCACATCTGAGGTGACAGGAACCTGAGGCTCAGTTTCAGTGAATCTTTTGTTGTACCTGGAGTAAATGTGACATCCTGACACACTTCTCACATTAGGCTTCTGATATGTGCAATTACAAAAGCAGCAAGCATGCACTGTATCCAAACAGAGACTACCTTCAAGATACATTAAGTACTTGTGATCAATTGGGTATTTAACAGATCATCAATCATTCAGATACAGTAAACTCCATAAACAGTGATTGTGGAGTAGAAAGGAGTAAGTTTCTGCAGGCTCTCAATCTAAATGGCTGGATCATGTCCCTGGAAGTATTTAAAAAGTAGATGTGGCACCTGGGGACATGGTTTAGCAGCAGACTCGGCAGTGCTGGGTTAATGGTTGGACTTGATGATCTTAGAATAATTCTACGTTGATATTTTGAAAACAATAAGTATTTATTGTTAATTATTTTTTAGCATATAAGAATCACTATGTAATAAAGCAGGGAAGGGTGATATTTTAGAATCATGGGAATGATTTTCTCATACAAAGTATACTTCTTAAAATTATGCACACTCCACAGGGGAATATTAAAGTTGTTAAATCAAGAGTTAAAAACCCCCACAGAATTAGGAATTAAGACTTAAGGTTAACTTTGGGATGCTGGCCCAATGGCTTAAACACAGTTTCACAACTGGCTGGATGCTTCTTCCTTCCTGGACACTGGACTTGGGAACCTCTGCTGTTGTGCAGACAGCTAAAAATGGCCCCATAAAGCTTGAATACAGGAGAAAGACAGACATGAGCTTCCTTCTGAGATGTGCTGTCTCCTGGGCACTGCTGGAATAGTTTTCCACACCAGGACACTTCCAAAATTAGTTTGCTCTATGTGAAGAAAAAAATCTGCAATAGGGCAATGGAGTGCAATGGAAAGAAAAGGGCCTTCTGTGCCAGGCAACGTGTACAGTGGGAATTGTGTTCCCAGGCTCAGCTGTCTCCTTGCACATGCACGTGACAGCAGAGCAGTCTGCTCCCACCTCTGCCCTGGACTGGCAGCATCACTTCCTGCCTGAAGAACTGTTTCCCAGAGGGACGGCTAAGATTTTGGGAGGCTGGCACCTGGAAACAACTGGAATGACCTTGGTGCTATGCATGACACTGTTTGTGAACTCACGTGCTCGGTGTTTAAGGAAAAATACAAAAAATAATTAAAACCCACCAAGAGCTGCCATGCCCACACAGACACTGCACAGCAGTCTGTCAGGATTTTAGCTGCAGATACTATTCCTTATCTCCCTCCAAAAATGGGGATAAAGTAGGAGAAGCAAACAGCACATGCATATATTTATGATCAACTTTTAAAAAATTATCATGAAGCTTAAGGGCATGGCTCCATGTTAATGTATTTGCAGACAGCTTGTTTATGTTGGCACCCTCAGTGTCATACACCACACCAGTGCATAAATAAGTCATATACTCAACTCCAAGGACTGTACAAACACTTTCAACAAAAGACATTGAAAACACAAAGATGAGGGACTTCTTTTGCACATTTTAATGTAAAGGTTTTAGTTTACAAAATATTTCTGTAAGGTTCAGCACCAGCTGTGACGGGAGATGCGTGAAAAATCTCTTTTTCAGCACCGTTAGTGAAGCGTTAAGAGCCACAATCTTTCTTGGCATTTGAGGCTCCTTATCTGTCACGCACATCTTGGCTCTGTTGTGCACATGGGATCAGAGCACGGAGAGCACAGTCGGTGCTGGAGACCAGAAATGCACACCATGTGCACTGCAGGGTTGGAGTGACTGCAGTGAGGAGGTCTCTGTGCCCTTGGGACGGGCTCCGGGCAGGTCCCCTGGGCTCAACACCCATTAGCAACCAAGGCACAGCAGACCTGCTCCTGAAAGCTCTCCCAGCTGTTTTTAACCCAAAACAAATCCAGCATGTGTGCTGCAGGACTGGTCCCTGGCTCTGAGCAGGCCCTGCAGCGGAGGATGAGTGGGACAGCTTGCCTCAGAAAAGCACTTCTGACCCAAACTAAAACACCTACAGCTGGTTCCTGCCAAGAGGTGCATGCCCAACCTCCCCCACAGGATGCATCTTTACCACTGCCCCAAGATGAAGGCAGGAAGATGCTTCAGGAGCAGTGCTACAGAAGAGATGTGTACCCACAAGATAAATGCTACAACTGGCCAGAAATTGTTCACATTGATTAAATAGAACTTTCAAGGTGGCTTCAAAACAATTTAAACAAACCTCCAGCACCCGGCAAAGCAAAAGAGCCTTCCTGTAGAAGCTAGAAGCTATTTATTTCTTTCCTAAAAAGCAACAATTGAAAGGTCTGGCATTAGAGTGCCAAGCTGGGGATTAAGATGAAGTGCTGTGAGGAGGTGAGGATCACTGGCAGCTCTGCTGCCTTCCTTTTGGTCAGCAAAACCACCACAGGGGTGGTGGCAGGGGTGCCAGAGCTTGCCTTCAGGCAGCCAACCTGGAAAACCTTCCAAGAGGTTTCTGTCTATCAATTTTTATTCCCTTAATGATTTGCCTCTAACTGGTGCCCAAGATGTGTTTGTTACAGAAAGAATTGCAGGAGGCAGCGGAAAAGCTGCAAATTAACACCACCGAGAATGCAAACTGTAGGAAGAGATCCCCATTACCCCTAAGATACATTTTAGATCAGAAAGCACCCTGCAAACAAATTATTAGAAGGAGAAGGAATGTCAGCAATATTTTAAGAACAGGACTATGCTGAGCATCAAGCATTACAAAAAGTGCAGCTTTTAGCTCTACATAAAGAACATCCAATGAAAAACCAACAGACCATTAACTAAAACCACAAACTACTTCCACCATGATTTAAATCATCATAGAACCAATCCAGAAGGAAGCCCTTCTCTCCACTGTTTCATCTAAGACATGAAATCTTACAAAGTCATACTGAAATGAAAGAAAGAAAAACAGATTCAGTAAGTATCCTGATCTTAGCCAAAAAGCTTCACTTATGGCAATCCTCAGATAGAGGAAGGCATTCTACTGCACAGTGTTATTCCCAATCACTGGTATCATCTGATGAGAGCTGTCATCTGCCCAGAGACATCTGTCAAGAAGACCTGAACAAGTCTGAGCTGCTGCAGTACCAAGCAGCAGCTGACCACGGCTTCTGTGGTGGCTGCTGAGATATTGATGCCTCCACCTCCACCCAACTCCAGCTGGAATCTCTGGTTCCCAGTGGATGCCATCCACCACAGTGTCACCAGGACACACTGTGAATGGATTACCTTTGTTTTCCCATTTGTAAAAATGGTTACTTGGTACCCCAAGACACTGCAATGAATAATTCATTAGCCTTTGAACACTACTTGGAAGTCAACACTTGGTAGATGAGTGCTAAATATATCCAAGTATTCTTATCAAAAGTCCCATTCTCCTTTAATTGCACTTGGGTGATGTCTGTGCTTCAAACCACTCCCAAGCTGACAGTGTGAAAATATCACCAACTACAGGACTAACCTGGCTGGGTGATACCCTGTAATACTAAACCACGTGTGTGATTATTCTGAAAATAATAGTGAATACATAAAGCATATGTCCATTTACTATCTCCTCCAGAATATAACACTAGACAGGGACAGCAACAAACGCAGTCATCAGGTGACAGGTGATTTATTTCTGCACAGAAATATTGTATTGATTACTCTAGATTTCCATCTTAGTGAGTATCTTTTTTAAAATGTGAATAACAAACTTCTACGTAAAAGATTATTCTCCTCTGTGGAAATTATTATCAGGCCTGTAATCTCAGAAGGAAAGATCCTGTCAAAATATGCCAGTTTTAAGTGTTCAGGAAAATACAAAACTCGGCATGAATAAAATAAAACATGACTACTCAAAAATCCTAATTGCAAAAGCTATTTTTAGTTGTAAATGTAGTTAAGTGAAATATTTACAATGCATAACATTTTCATGGTAATAAAAAATGTCTATTATTTCTGCCATTATTATGGTAATTGAATTCATTCATTTATTAGGATCTAGCTTAAAACTGCTAATATTCATTCTTACTTCCTCACTCAAGAGTCAGAATACAAAAATTTACAGACAAAGGTCTTTATGTTCTACCTCATGTAATTTTCTTTTTTTAATCAAGTTTGTCTGCACTTTTAATTCTAGTGGCAGGATGCAATGCCAGCTCCCAACTACAACAGACTCACAATATTGTTTGGATCTTGCATTCCATTCCCTGTTTTAAATCCTCCAGTGGTTCAGAGGCAGCTCTAACACCACTCCCCTGCCCTGCTAAGCCCCTCCAGCTGGTGGGACAGGACACCCAGGAAGCTCCTGTCACCACCCACTTCTGAACTACTGTTGGAGCTTTTCTGCTCCTGGGCTCCCTGAGCCATGTAATGCAAGCCCTGAATTTGTCAGTCCTGTGGAGAGTTAGTCTGTTCCCAGGGGTCACAGGACATACCACACAGCATATTTTGGACATTTCCATAGGTTTAGCAAAGTGACCATAGGTTTGACCACGTAGCACCTAAACCAGATCCCTCAGCGCAGGTTCTGATCCACTCTAAGTGAATGTGAGGTCATTAAGGCTGTGAAAAATCATACCTTCCCCACCTGTGGCAACAGCACAGAGATGGAGTCTCATTTCAGTGGGATGTAATTCTCAAGTTATATGTGGGTACTTAAACCAGGAAACTTCTGACAATTTAGATACACAATTGCCATAAGACTGCTCATGCTCCTGCTGCAATTTTGCATGTAAATTGGAAAATTGCATTTACAAATAAGCAACTGAATAAACAGCAGAAAAAAGTGAAGGTACTAATTGTCATTATCTCCACAGCAATACAGCATTATTGACTTTAATGTAAAAATTACCTTTTGTGAGTGTATGTGACTTCAGTGCAGGGCAAATGTTTCTCAGTAGCGGGAGAATGACAAGTGGAACATATATACCAACATATATGCTCCATCTAACTCTCATATATCTCTGATTAGATTAATTCCACTAACTAAGATTAATCTCTGCACAAAGCACACAGCTGTTCTTCAGCATGTACCCTACACTGTTCTCTTGTGCATTTCTATAACTGCAGGGAGAACTTTTATACTACTTTCCTAAATACAATAACCTTCAACACTAGCTGTTCAGCAAGAGAAAGAGAGCAAAAAATTTCCACATTCCAAAGAGATTATTTTAATTGTACCCTAACCTTTGAGACAAAGAATTTTGAGAATTATATTAAATACTTAAGGTGTATTTCAAAGAAAGTATTTTTGAGCAGCACAGAGTAGCTCTAAAGCCCTTCTCCGTAACCCTATGTAATAAAAAAGCCAATTGCAGCACCGATGTGAGCATAAACATGATCTTGGCAGCAGCAGCAGTCACTGGGGAATCTCTTGAGTGCAGCAGAATCTACGACCAAGTTCTTTCTTTAAGAGACAGTGCTATCCACTTCTCTTTGGCTTTTCCAGTGGAAACAGGGCAGAACCCACGCTGGTGGCACTTGCAAACACATCCCATGCCTAACAGGAACAATTTTTAAAATATCCAGTGGGACACTGCCCCCAAAGACTGACCTACCTGCCGCAGATGCAGGTGTAGGAGGTGTGGCGCATCCCTCCCCGCGTGTAGCAGTAGTGCTGGAACAGGCTGCCAAGACAGAAAGGCAGTAATTAATGATTTGTGCAAAATCACCACAAGACAGGGAGAAAAGCGAGCCCTGCTGGAGTCCAGCTGGGTTGGTGTAAATCCCCAGCTCCCCAGCGAGGCTCTCTGCCCGTTTCTGCTCAGCTGAACACTCCTATTCCCCCCCCCATCCAGAGCTCAGCAGTCCTGCAGAGCAGCTCGGGATTTCCACAGAGCCATTAAGCAACTCTGCAACACAGAAGAGGGGCTCAAGTGCAGCTCAGTAACTCCAAATGGCAACTGCTTTCCATAACAACTCCATGCAGAAAGGGAAATTACTGTTGGCAAAGGGGAGTTCATCTGACCACAGAATTAACAGGACTGTGACAGTTAAAATGCTGAAGCTGGCCAAACCCTCCGAAGTGGAATTGAAAAAACCACTTCTTGCTGTATTTCAGGTACACAATCACATCTGTGATCCTTATTTTCACTCCTGCTGCCTTCAGTCCGTGGCATGTAGATTTAGGAGAAGTGAAGTCCAACCAGCCCCTCACTGGGGAAGGAGCTTGTCAGACAGGACAAAGCTCTTCAAAATAATTTCAGCAAAAGCCCTCTCAATTTTACCACCTCACAGACACCCTCTGCTGAAAGCTGAATTAATATTTCCAAAGCCTGAACTGCTCCTGACTATGCTATTCACCCTTCTCCCCAGAGAAGCCAGCAGAGCTGTCCTATTATGTAAAACCAAGTCCTTTCCACCAGTGTCCCAGGCCATGCTGGAATGGATGGTCTCATGTTTTCTTGTCTGTAGCACAACAGTGAAAACACAAGACTACTCGATTTCAGGTTGTGGTACCCAAATACTCTATGGTCTTCCCCTGTCCAAAGAGGGGGGAAAAATTAACACAGACTCAATCCCAAGAGCAAGAAGATAATGTGGTAACATTAGGCTGAGTCTGCTCAGCCTATAAAGAAGAGTACAACACAGCACTGTCATCCTGCTGGAGGAGCTGTCTGGCCTTAAAAAGCATTAAAACATTTTCATCTTCACTGTCAAAGTCCCCTTCACATGAGGGCAGATGTGCCCAAAGCACAATTAATATAGGATTAGGTGCTTTAAGAGCTAAGCATGTATCATGGATCCTTCTATTCTTTTGAAATATCCTCTAGTTACAATCCAATTCCCTTTAATAACACTGAATGCATTTGAAAACCTCATTTCTTGTAAAACTGAAATCATTTCATTAACACAGAGTGATAATGGTGTCATTCAAAGAAAAGAGATGTTGTGATTTTGTCCTTCTGCAGCAGAAATCCACAGAACACAATTCAAATTCAAAGGATATTAAAGGCATTACATGCTTGTAAATCCAAACTGGATTTTAAAATGACACAAAATGACAGTATTTAAAGAGAAACAAAACAAAACATACAAGATAACCACACAGGAAAAAAGAAAAGCCTCCATTCAGAGACTCAGTAGGGAGATGCTGTTTACAGGATCTCTTTTCTGCTCAAAACACTGTGGTTTACAAGGCAGAAATAGTAGGTTTGTTTTGCCCCAGAAATGAATAATGGCAAAGAGTAGGTCGAATGCCAGAGAAGTTAAGTGTAAACTCCGACATGGTGAGAGCACAGCAGAGATATCACTAAATTGAGCTAATGAAATTTATCACCTCAACTGTCATTTGGTCTGACACAGACATCTTTTCACAAAAATGGACATTTTATATGGAAAGATTTGCTTGCAAGCAAGGTCTACTCTGTAAGACACGACACCACGTACAAAGATTTTGCACAATAATTATACCGTTATATATATCTGTATGTATAAGAAGCAACTTTTAGTGTATTTTAAAGACCCTTCACTTTAAACGATTGAATAAACTGTGTCCTCTAAACAGCAACTTTCAGTAACCTTCTAAAGAGCTTTAAAAATGAAATAATGAAGGCTGTAAACATCTTTCCATCATCAGTGATGCAGGATAGCAGGGTTTATTTTTCCATATGACAACTGATCACATATTCATGGCTGCAATTAATATGAAACTATGCAGCTGAGTAATAGTATTCACCTTTTGCAGCACTCCCCGATTAGCAGTAAAAAGCAGCAAGTAAATTAAGACATGCTTCGTATAACCCAGCTGTTGCCTGAACTTTGTTTCTGTTTTCTAAAAAAGAAACCTGATTGTTTCATCAAATATTATGGACTTCCTTTTAAGAGTAAGAAAGAAGCAGTTATTTAAGAGACTGAACTGGTGATAGCACAGCTTTGCCAGGTGATGAGTTTTCTGCTAGTAAAATCACTCACATTACTTTTTTGAATTTTCTTTTTTTGGGGTATGACTCATTACAAACGTTCATGCAGCTGAAATAAAAAAATCCAACATTTCCATTAGAGTGAGCCAACATCCTTGTATAATATGGCAAAGACAAGTGAAGGCTTGGGTATCTCTTTCATGGCAAATGCTGGCTTTTCAAAGCTGAAAAGTGTATATATAGAATTAGAGAAGGTGCCAGCATTTTGTAGTTAAGGTCCTGGTTCCACTGAAGTTAATGAAGATTCTGCCACTGGACTTCATCACACCAGGATTACACTGACTACACTCTGTGAGAATCTTTATCCGAGAGCGCAACACAAAAGTATAAAGTCTGAAACAGTTGGATGGAATATAATTCAATCTGTCTCTCCACAGGCATTGCAAATATTGCATCTTGAGCTTTGCCTGGTCCTTTTGATTGGAGGGTATGTGTCTTCAGTCAGTTTTATGTTGGTGCTGGATGCTTTTGCGTGAGCTTTTAATGCAACCAACAGAGACACAGCAGTTAAGCACCTCTTTCTCTCCTTTTTTCCATGGGTTTCAAAGCTCCCTGTCATGCTTTGTGCAGTGTTTCTCCAGAGGGTGTATGTGTTATTTACCATGCACATGGGGCCTTGGTGGTGTCCACAGACCAACCACTGGTGTATCAGATGCTACCTTTAAATGCAGACATTTGCTAGTGCTGCACGGGCCTTGCACTGCTTTTGACACATCCTGGGTCTGGTGCTTTTTCTTTTTGCCAAAAACTTCACTTTCTTTGACTGACAATATGTGGAGAATGAAGGTAGTTTTAAAGACCTCACTCTTTGTTTCCATTAACTTAAAAAAAGGCAAGCATTAGCCACCATCAGCTCGGGTAAATCTGACAGGAGTGCACCTGCCCCAGCCTTGCAAATCTGCCAAGGTACCAGACAGTGTTATCCCCTGCTCTGAGTCTCACCTGCCTCACTGACTACAGTGACCTGAGAGAAGTCCCCTTTCAGAAATAACGGGTTCTTCAGCATCACAAATAACAGAACAAGTATATCCTTGCTATGCTTCAGATCTTCTGGAGCACTGCACACATCCAAACAAAAGTCCTGAATGCTTAAAAAGCCTCAAGTTCAGAACAGCCCCAAAAGCCACTCAAGTAAAACCTTCTGTGAGCAATCTTTCTGACAAATTATCAAAAGCATTCTGACAATGATGCTTGTGTCTCGTGATCATCCTTGGTCCAGTTTTTAGTGCTATCCAAAGCACACTGACAATGACAATCAGCTGTCTCCTATGAATGTAAAATACGGTACTTTAATGCCAACAGCTTTCCTAACTTAAGTGAATTTGCAGAATAAAGGCAGGAGGGATAGAACTATCTGTAATGATTGCTCTCACATTTTTTGCTTATTTTCAGGTCTTCCTTGTCACCAGAATACAACATATCCATACCTACTCAGCACTGTTATTTTTATTTCCCAAAAGATGTACACAAATAATCTCTAATCTTAATTCTTGTCATCAGCTCTTTTTGACTTATAGAAAACCACATTTTGCATTTCTCAGCTATTCAATCCTGAAACCAAGACACTTCTAGATCAAAAAGATTTAAATTCTAAATAAAAATCCAATGGAGCATTTTAACCTATATCTTACAAAACAGGTAAGAACTGCAATTACAAAAAAAAAGTAGCAAGTATGGAGCTTAAGGGAGTTCTGGACAGAACCTGGAGGATTTTTTTATAGTTTCCTTTTTTTTTTTTAATGGAATACAACTGGAAGATGTAGGTGAATATCTGTTAGTTATCTGTGCACTGAATTACTTTTGAATTACAACTAGGCTGTGTCATTATGCTTTTGTATGGTGTAAATATGAAGTGTAGCCATGAGACAGGCTAAAATCCAAACCTTTGTTAAAGGATTCATAGAAGGCCAAATATTCCAAAGCTGATCTCTGTTTATACCAGGACTAAAAGCCACTCTTTTGATCATCTGGACACACAAAAAAGCTATAAAGCCCAAATAAAACAAAACTGCTAACCCACAGTAAATATAATTTGTCCACGATGCCTAAAGCATTTAAGATTAACATCAAACTAGGCTGGAAGAAACCTGCTCAGAGAAAAGCAGAGAAGGTGTCACTAACATCCTACCAGTGAATGCAGGAGCAAAGTGAGCAGGGCTTCCCTTAATCCCACACTAGACATTGTGAGGTTCCTAAATACAGTGTATTTTTCTTTGTTAACCTACTTACTCTGGTAATATAATTTATTTTCCGTGGGCAACTAGATGCTTAAAGGCTTAGCCTATCTAATCCTATTTTCATTTAGTTCACAACAGCACATTGCAGTATTGCCAAACAAGTCTGAAGTTGTTTTAATACAAAAACAAGCAAAAAAAAAAAAAGTCACTACTTCATTGCAAAAGGGTAAAGAAGGAGAGTGGAGAAGAGTAGGAGGAATAATCCAAGTATTAATTAACAAATGATGGATTACAAACTTGCAGCAGAACAAGAAAAATAGCACTACGAGCAGATGAGCAAAGTTATTCTGCACCTTGGAGACAACATAATTAATGATTTATGAAAGCAATGTTATTATTTAAGTGCTCCACATGCCTGCAAATTGTTTAGAACAGAACTTACAGACCCATGAACAACAGGAAACAAAAACACTTACATGCACCAACTTCTCAAACTAACTGGTTGCACTACCTCTAATGAAACTTTTA